AGTTTTTCTTTCGTGAAACAACTTGATGCGTTTTGACCCAAACATAAGCCAACCATCCGGTAGGGCTAAGAGATATTTCAAGATATTTTAGTAAGTGAAAATGAGGACTTTCGATAATTCATGTATGAGAATTTACCGTCTGTGTTGGTACATTCTTCCAAGGTGCAGCGTGAAGGTTCCTACAATAAACACAATAAAACTGATTCAATTTATTTTGGGTCATGGAACATTCAATCATTGTGTGAGATATTAAAATGGTTCAAGGTATCAATGATAAAGGATGTGTGATAATGTGTCATTCTGAGTGGCTTGTGTTGCATTTTACCCTTTAACTCCTAAGATCTGATCGTTCATTCTCCCCTCTAGCTGCTACACATTTTCTTCTAAATTAGTTGGGAGAATTATGTGGTAGATGAGGGTAACAACTTCTACCTGGTATATTTGAGTGTTCTCATTACCTGTTAGCGGGATGGTGTATGGATTTTGTAGGGAAAAGTTACATGTGAATCACCCTGAAGAGCTTAGTGAATTACCTCTGAGAGTTAAAGGGTTTAATTAACTCGGAAAGACACTCCAATACGGCAAGGAATGGATGTCTGGCATGTTTTAAAGGTAACGAAATATTTCTGAACACTTGTAGTGAAAATATGTAACCTGTCTTACTAACTTCGTAGATAAAACCAGTCAATCTACGAGTGGATGTTCCATGGTTCTTTTTCCATAATGTATGTATTGCCAAACAAAAAGATTGTTGATATTGACATGACTGAAGAACTGGGTTCTCCCTGCTTACCTTCATTTGATGGTACTGGCTTCCGATGCTCGGAACCAAATCTTGTGGGTCGGCGGTTTTGCTGGAATTGTTCAGCTCACACGTGACCCACCCATTTAGTTGCTTTCTGATGTTCACAGAGAAACACAGAGGAGAGTCCACACATTGCCAGTGACAAGCTACCGGTTGAAATACCGTGACAGTTTCTATCACGTGATTCTTTAGAGCCATTCCATCTTCTTTGGTGAACTTTGTTCTTTTGCATCCAGCAACGAGAGGTAACCAAAATAAGCTGAGCCACTTCATTCTGAAATTTAAACCTGTATTTTGGATTACCTAGTAAGATTATCTTTGTTTAAAAATTACAGTTCAGACAAAAGAATTCAAATTTGGAGAAGCATATAAAAAAACTTGTCTTTTCTCTGTATTTATTGGCGTACTGCAAATGATATTGTTTTGGCTGGTAATATAGCACTGGATGATGGTCATGGAAGTTTTTAAAATCTAGAATAAATAACCTGCATAAAATATTTGTTGTTTTTTTCAAGTTACGTGCCTGAGGAATTTCTCTCAAAGAGATAGAACCATGCATGTGCGAACATGCGACCAAGAAAACATCGTAGTTGCAGGAAAATAAACATAACTTGCCATAATTTGTTCGGATTTTGTTTTTAATGTTTTTTTCTTTCTATACGGTAACAAAAAGTCTTGCGCATATAGCTTATTAAAGTGTTCTCGAAGAGATTGCAGTTACGTGGTATACCAGCGTCGGATGACATTCGTACTTTTCTTGTAAAGTAAATCCCAATCAAACACGGCATTGATCAAATTATTCATTGCTAGCTTGACAATGAATCAGAGTTTTTGTGCGCAAGGTATCAAATAGTTAACAGAAACTTCTAACGACATGAGCGCAAGGTTTGTGCAGTAGCATTAAATTTGGCCAGCACAGTTAAGACCCATTTGGTAATACAAAAACAAATTAAGTCAGATTCAATACCCGACAAATTTCATGAAAATGAGGCGAAAAACAAGATCAGAATGTAAAAGCAGCTACTTACGACCTGAGTGAAATTTCACAAATAACTGATGATGGCGAAGAGCCAAATTCTGAATGAGATATTTCGTTTGCTTTCACAATCGGGCTCAGTCTTGTATGATGGTTTCATTTCATGAGTTCAGCAGCGTTTTAAACTATTCGAATCCGCTCTCTTACCATTTGTCCGAAGAATGAGAGACTTCTTTAACGAATTACAAATTTGGAAGTTAAACATAAACACTCCTCCACTAACCTTTCCTTTCTCGCCTAGAGTCTATTACATTTTATTTCTGAACTTATGTTTTTAAGCCAGTCCAGAGGTGTTTCATCTGGTAAATAGACGGCGACGTTAACAGATACCAGTGCGATGGGTGAATTCTTGTGACTTTAGTTAACGTAACAACGCGACTTTGTCTAGAGCGATATGGACTTCTGTCTTCCTCAAGACTTTATAGGCGGTCCAATAATTGTTGACCGTGAAGTGAAAATGGTTAGAATAGTTTGGTTTTCGAGCAGATAATACTATTTTTATTTTCATTCTTAACAAAAGGCACCAATGATGGCACCACATCTCTCTGTTTACGCCTTAATGTTGCTTCTTTCATACCTGAAATCATCTGCTCGTCAATCAATGTGCCCTATGCATTATTTTGGGTCTGACACAATAGGATAGGCATAGCAATCTCTATTGGCATGCAGAAATAACGCTTAAGAATTTAACAAAGTAGTAGCTTGTGTGCCGTTTTGCGAAACACAAAAGGTAGACCTACTGTGATGGCCGCAGGTAAACATTTTTCTTATTAGTTATTCCTTTCGCAATTTGTAATTCAATTACGCGATGTTATGGTCTAAACCATATTTCTTAAACAAAATTATACTTTTTGCCAACGTGAAAAGCGAGATCTCCTGCACCAGTGAACTCATAGTGTGGTTCTTTTTAAATTCATGTCAAGCATAATAATTTTCAAACGATTGTCTGATGTGATAGATTGCTGGTTAAATTCATCCTCTGGCCTGACAAAATGAATATTTATGATGAGGACGCAACTGCAATCTTTTTGTGTCTAGGCTCTCTCATAAAACAGGTTAAATGTAAACAATTGGGTGAGATAATCCCTTCGAACTGAAAATATTTAATGCATTTCTAGCTCTGAAACTTAAAAATTTTTCTTTCAAAATATCACTCGAATCAGTCGCAAACCTAACAACATTACACGTATCCTAGATGGCACAAGATTCTGAACTAAACGTGAGATCATTCTAGTAAGAAATTGTTTCGTGTTACACCTGAAGAGGCGTTGTAATAAGTTACACATTGTTTTTGCCTTATCATATAAAAAATTCAACTTAACTTTCTAACCACAAGCCAAGCTTTATAAACGCGTTTTATGCGATAGAGGTTGTTTAGCAGTTGTGCCATTTTTCGCTAATTTTCGAAGGAGGTTCAAGGTATGTTAAACTGAAAATTTTTTTCATCGATAGACGGCGAAGATCTTGTAATTCTCAGCCTACGCTTAGTTAATTTCTATGAAAGAGTCTAGATCTTCTTTGTGGTTATTTCAATTATGTAAATAAGGTTATTCCATATGTACAGAGTGCGAATTTCAAATTTTAAATCATGAATAACAAACCTCGGTGAACGACTGAGATTTACTGTCGACGATAGGATAATCATTAGCTGATACACTGAGTTGGGAAAAAATTCAAAATGTGAGTGAAAGCAGAGCGTAACCAAAGTTAATTAGTTAAACTCTAGGCAGCTATCGAGAAAGATAAAACCATGAGGCAAAGCTATGTTTACAAAAACAAAATCTTAGGAACTCACGTTGGGGGGGTCAAGTTCAAAGCTGAATATAAAAGAAAAAATTTGCAGTAAAACTAAATTAGCTGACAGTAAATTCAAGCAAAAGATATAAACTTATGCATCAGAGAACAATGTCGTGGACAAAATAATCCGCACGTTATTCGGACTGCATTAAATTTACTTTGAAACTTTATGTGTTTTAAACAAACTTTAGTAAATAAATGTCTGACTCGAGAAAGTTGTTAGGCCTTCTTTTAGCCGGGATGCCCAGGAGCTTCTGTTTTAAATTGATGACGATTGCGAAGCCTTGAGAATGTAAATGATTTTCAATTATCATGCAAATAAAACTCAAAATTTGAAAGAGTAAAGTTTGAGAAATAGATAAAGCTGACTGCAACAGAAATTTCTCATTCTAAATGGTCTAAGCGATTAGCAAGCACGCTTACTGCGCGCCCGCAATACGTGGGTGTTATTTCATGCTGTTCCGACCTGAGGGGACTGACCAAACCTGCAGTGGTTTTACGAAACCAATAAAGCTATTCGCTTTTAATTAGATTGCCGAATTCGACTGCAAATCATCCAACTACACCTGATAGTGAATTAAAAATCTCTAAAACGTGGATCGACGGGAGGAAAAAAACCAACGAAGAATTGCAAAAAAAGTGGGCCTTTGAGTGCTTGATTCGTTTTATTTAAAGTATCCTTGGGAAAGCTGTTGTTATAAGTACAGTGGTTGTTCACGTTGCCTTAGGAACCAGCTCCTGTGAAACCACAGTCAATATTGTTGATGTTTCACAAGGTGATGCTAATCTGAATATAAATGTTTTTCTTTTCTTTTAGAGGGAATTGAAAGAAAATTTTTTTTCTAAAATGCGAAAATGCGGTGGAGTGCTTTCTTTTCTTTTTTGGAAAATTTTTTAATGCCAGACTGAGGAAAATAGACACAAAATATCGAGGATTTTAATCGGGTTAGTTAGTCTGCGGTGATGAAATGCAGGTTCAGTTACACCAATCTATATCACCACACTATTTGAGTTTTTTTCCTTAACTGCCCAAAAAGGAAGCTGAAATTCGATAATTTCTCATCAAATCGAAGGAATGAATAAAGATATGTTTTAAAAGCTAATAAGGATATGCATAAAACTTTTACCCTTTCTAATTTTTCTCTAAATCCGAGAAAGATTTGTTATGATTTGAAGCGTAAGTTTTGTTTTCAAAGCCTTGAAAACCATAAGAACGAAAATATCCATACCACTTTGTAATGCGCCTGAATGATTTATTAAACATTGTCTAGGGTTCTGAAAAGATTAAGACTCGTTGAGACCCAGACGCTTTCTGCTGTCAGTTACCAGTCAGAAGCGATTAAACCAAGCAGGGAAATCAACCTAGAATTGAAGTCTTAGAAGCTCGGAAAACTATTTTATCATTCAAATGGTAAAATGAACGCGTTAGGAGTAGTATAATCCGTATAAACCACAGACAAGCATCAGTGTTCTGAGGAGATAAACTGCAAACTAAAGGTAATTCAATTACACGCAGAAAGATGATAGAGAGTATTTTATATCCGAGTTTATGGTTTGGTTAATTAAGTCAGTGATAGCTAATCAGCGATAATCTCCGTTACAACACTGAATAGTATTATACATCGAATTGTCTTCATCACATCTTTGAGTCCTTCGAATAAATGAATCTTACACTTTCTTTTAAATTTTTTCCTCTATGCCAAACGCCAATACATTAAATTAAGTGAGAAAGTTTTTCGTCGTTAAGCTGGAGTTAACTCTAAAGTGTCTTTAGTGACAGAACTCGCGAGCGGGTCAATCACTAGCGTTGTTGTGATAACGTGATTTCAACTGTGGTACCATTTGATAGGCTAATTCAAGAAACCATTGTTTTAAAATTGTGCGCAGATATGAATTACTGGGTGACAGTATAGCACAGAGAAACATATATTGTATAAAACACACACCATCGTGTTAAGGTATGAGCTCTATTGAAAACCAAATCGTGAGGGATCCAGAGTGAAAAGTAATTGAAGCTTGTAAATACAAAGACTGATATTCAGTACTGTGTCGATTTCTTAAGCCGACTTTGAAGAGCACGATTCATTTGGTGTTTGCCTACGATTAGGTCTTCTCTGTTGGAGTTTCTTACTTGCGAGCTCAAGGGAAGCTTATCCTGTTAAAAAGACATGACTGGTACTCCTCAAAGACACGAAAGGAAGCAAAACGCGGCAAGTACAAATCCACAAGAGACTAGTAATGGTACTTCAAAGGAAGACATCGTTTCTCCGGGAGTCATTGAGTTGGTAGATCATAATAAACACCACCTTTTGTCCCATTCTGAACTACCAGATTGGCTTCGCGGAAATGAATTTTTATCCCATTTCCATAGACCCCCTATGCCATGTTTTAGATCTTGCTTTAAGAGTATCTTTAAACTTCACAGTGAGACGGGTAATATTTGGACTCATTTGATTGGTTTTATTGCGTTTGTATGCATCACATCGTACATGCTTGTGCGACCCGTCACTGAGGCTTATCCATTTCCTGGAGACTGGCGTGAGAAACTTGTCTTCAGCTGCTTCTTCGTGGGTGCAATCTTGTGTTTGGGAGTTTCGTGGATTTTTCATACTGTTTATTGCCATTCAAAGACCATCTCCAAGATATTTCGCAGGTAAGTTTGCCTGTATTTCTGTAACTTAACATGTTTTTTTTCCACTGCTGAGCTAAGAATTGGTCCAATCGCTCGGAGGCCTGAATTGGGCTCATTAAGAAATCGTATCTTGATGAGATAGAGATGACATTGTTTTTCTAAGAAAACGATCGTCAAAGGAAATGAGCGAAAAAGAAGCCAGGGCGAAAGAAAATTAGTCACATAGTTGTTAAAGTGTCACTCGGTCAGTCAGCCCATCAATCTCCGTCAGGTAGCAATAAGTCTGTCAGTCAGTCAGTTAACAAGTCAGTCAATCAGCCTGTCAGTCAAACAAAAATCCCGTTTTCAGTCAATCAGCCAGTCAGTCAGTCAGTTCTTCAGTCCGTTCGTCAATCAGTTAGTCAGTATTTTTGGTCAGTCAGTCTTTAAGTCATGTAGCAGGCCAGTCAGCTATTTAGTCGGTCCACAAATAATTTTTTAGTCAGTTACCCACTTCAGTTAGTGTTCCATTAAATTCATTTGTTTCTACGAGTAAGTCTAGGATGATGTACTGAAAAGAAATTCATGTGATCAAATACTGATGTACTTTGTTCCATTTGCTTCCCAAGGCTTGACTACGCAGGAATAGCAATATTCATTATGGGATCGTTCATTCCTCCGTTATATTACGGTTTTTACTGTTCGAGAGTTTTGAAGATTGTATATATGTCAATGATCTGTTCTCTTGGTGTCATCTGCATTATTGTTTCCTTGTGGGACAAATTCAGCGCGCCCCACTACCGACTATTGAGGGCAGGTAAATATGTCGTTCAAAGCTCAATTAATAGAGCAGTTTTCAATTGTATGTCCTTAAACCAAAATAATCACAGTGACCAATCAAAACAAAGGTTTACATCATCATTAACCGATGAGAACTCAAAGTGAAAACAAGCGGGAAAACGCGATTGTTTCAGTTTTGCATCTGATTGGTTAAATGATGGCACTAGTTTTTTTAGACCAATCACAGAGCAGAGTTGAGTAAAACCAATGCAATCCTGGATTACTTTCGACACTCCATTGAAAATCTATAAAACTCACGCTTCCATGCTTTGCCATGATCTTTCTCTGAAATGAACCCTGCATTGAAAACTTTTAATATTCAATTTTTATGGAAACTTGAACTAAATGTGGGGGATTATTCAGCGTCAATTGATTTCCGGTTGACTTCTTGCGATAAGTGACAGATGATTGAACAATAGGATCATATTATATATTTAAAATGAGAGAGACCAGAGCGTGGGACAGAGAACGGTGTGAGAGAGAGGGAGGTTAAGTTGATTTTATAAAATAAAACGTGAAGTTTCGGAACATAGCAGATTCTTTAGTCTCATTTCCGACATAAAAAAAATAGTATCCTTTTTTCGTTTATATCATTATTTCATACGCATTCGCACTACAACTCCAAATAAAACCAGTATTTTATATATCCAAGCGGTTACTTAATACCTGTTTTCGAAGATATTTCTCCTAGTCTTATTCTTTAACCACATCTATTTACAATAACGAACTCATCTCAAAAAAGGAAGTTCGCCATTTTGTTAATGCGTGTGCTATTCATGCACAGTTGGAAATGCACAGAGTAAACATAATTTCATTAAGCATATTATTTTCTTTCCAGGTATAATGCTTTCATTTGGTTACTGTGGATTTATTCCTGTGATACATCTCATATGTTTGTATGGAATAACTTTAGCATACCGGCAGGCAGCGGGCGGCTGGGTTGCTCTGATGTGTCTTCTCTACACTGCAAGTGCTGTTATGTATGCCACTC